AGCATTTGTATGTGTATATTTAATCGAGAACTTTGCACTAAAAACTACTATTGACATGTCTATATTTTAGTTTTATGTATCAACTTCATAAAAAATAATAAACTTTTTTTATTATAATTATCTTAGATATAGCGTGACATCGTCTATAAACAACAATTATAGTTACTCTTACGACTGCCGTCTATATCATCTATTATTGATATTTTAAATTGACAATTCCTTTTTGCTGCCTAGAACAGATTCTGGCAATATAATTTAATTTTTTGTTACATTTTAAAATATATTTTTCTCCTTTTGATTTTTAACTGACATGAAAAGAGAATTTTATTTTCATTAATTATCTGAGATACTTAAAAATATAAAATTAGAAAAGAATATTATATTACAAAATTAATATCTTCTAATTATTGTTGTAAACAAGAAAGTTAAAAAGCAAGGTTTAAGCTATGGAATCTAAGAGATCTTCTATAGCTCATTAAATTTTAATAAATTGTTGCAGTTATTACTATACATTTAATAAGTGACTGATATATGTTCAATTAAATATATTTATATGTAAATATATGAAAATAAAAGTGTATTATAACAAGATTATAAGTTAAAATCGTTGAACACACATTTTATTTTAATGTATAACACAAATCACATCAAGATATGATACAAACAAAACACCTGAAAATAAAATTTTAATTTTGTATTATATTAATTAGTTTTAATAAATTATATTAATTTTAATTGAATAGGTTTCAAAGATAACAACTTTATGCCAAATATCATTCTACTATAAAATTCTATTAAGATATATTTTCATATAATTATTTATATATCTTGTCACCTTAGTGTAATACTCATTAAAATAAAGTTGTTCATTTAGCAATTATAAATACGATTTTAATCTTTTTACTGTATGTAAAATCTTTTGTTCTTTTCACTTAATAAAAATAGTGCACTGCAAAAGTGACGCTTTTTGAAGAGCTATACATTGCAAAGTGTAAATTTTGAGATTATTAAAACAACTTAATATGTAAAGAAAAGGTACTCGTAAGAGTAACAGCTTAATTTTAATCTTGTACTTAAAGGTATTCCAAATATTTCATAATTAACTTACACTGTTATATATGTACAATTTACAAAGTGCTCTCTCTACATCAGAATATCCAATATCACGTCATCTTATCTTCAGGCCAATTTGAATCATATAATGAATCATCGAAAATATTAATAATTTGATGTTTTTACGTAAAACGTTATTAAATTTTTTTTTCTTTTTTTAGAGCACAAAAATTTTCAGTATATAATAATTATTATAATTTCACATCACATTTCTTGATATGTTTTACGTTGAAGCAATCGCGTTAAAATTTTTTGTATAAGTTACGTAATTAAATTTTGTTCATGATATGTTTACAAAAAGACCTGAAGATGAATAATATTCCTTACATATTAAAATTGTGTCTTTAATAAAATGTTGCTAAAGTTGTCATTATCAATGTATGTATAATTGATGTTACAAAAAAAAAAGAAAAAATAATATAAAGTCGTATTGCATATTTATAAAAATCTACATTTAATTTGTTTTCAATTAAATAAGAGATGTATGTATAATTTAACAATATTCAAGTTTTATATATAACAGATCTCTATCATTTAATGAATGCATTCAGCGGGAGATATGCTAAATAACATCGCTGGCAAAGTAAGTAGCGCATCGATCGTATATAAACTGCACATATATACATTGGTATTGCAATTCTTCATCTAATGCGTTTGTCCAAAATAAAAGCAACACAAATAAATTTTCAACAAGTGCCATAATTACAGTGTTTCGAGCTTTTTAACATTTGTTTTAATTGATCGAAATACAAGACAATTATATGCTTCTATAATGTACTACATATTCTATATCACGATAATGCTAAATAAATTTTTATTTTCGCTAACTATCCAATTTCGGTTTGCAATAATTTTTCCACAACAATAAAAATTTGTATATAATATAATATATAATATAGATATACATATATAAAAACTTGTATAATATTTTAATATGACGAAAAGTGTAATAAATTTAATTTTGAGGCAAGAAATTTATCATTAATTACACTCCTTCAGTTTTGATCATGCAATGGATCAAAAGTCATTTTTTTGTATTTTTAACAAGATATATTTTAACAAGATTAATTATAACGGAAAAAATAATACATCTTACTTCATCAAATTGTTAAAGATAATCATCAAATATTTCTAATTTTCTAAATTTTGACAAAATGAAATAAAATGAAAAAATGTGTTTTTAGATTGTGTCACACTATAAAATACATATTCAACTAAATGTTGAAAAGAGAATAAGTACGTGAGCACTAAATTAACATTTTGGCAAAATTGAAAAAATTATTGAAAACAGAAATTATATATATAAGTCGAGAAATGATTTAAAAAATATATATATCTACAAGTGCTTATTCTGACCAGCAGAAAGATGATATTAGAGTTAAAAGATAATATTATTAACAGAATCTGATTATCCTTTTTTTTTGCAGACATTCAACGCATCGCAATACTCTGATATATGGAAGAACAATTAAAAGCTGTGTAAGCTATATATTAAATATCACTGCAACAAATTCATATCTCATGATGCAGATACCATCCCATGATGGCAAAACCATATTAATCAATAATGCAGTGTTGATGATTTTGGTAGAGATATAGTTTGATCTTCGTCGATTTATGATATAAAAAAGCCTGGGCAAAACTTGCTCGAGTTGAAGGATTGAAGATCAGAGTGAAGTGCTTTTTACTGAATGATGGGGTTTAAGCGATGAGATCTTCGGCGCTGGTGAGATGCTCCAGTTACCTGACAGTCCTCCCCAACGCCACTGGGAATATCGGTTAGTCATCTGATAAATGCACTTTTATAACTTTTTGTTGTGCGCGCACTGCAAGTCACAGAAATAAATGGGATCGGTTCGTTAGCCACCTCTGGTGCTACTTTATTGCATAAGCATTAAATGTAAATTGTTACGAGGCCTGGACTATATATGTAATATAAACTTCAACCTGTATAATGCATCTCTGTTCAACTGTTATTTGCCCAGGTCTATATATAAGTTTTGTAAAATGTAATACATGCTAACAAAACAAAACGAAACTTAGGAGTCATGCTACATGCAATATGTAACAATTAATCAAATGTTCTTAAGGCTTCCACACGTGCTTCCTATATAAAGATTATGCGTTTCGCAGGTTTCCTCCGTGTCCAGATCCATTCTTAGAATGCCTTGAAGTGGACTGCAAGGTTCACGAAACGTTGGCATTCCAAGAATGGACATGGAGAAAATCCACGAAACGCATAATCTTTATAATCAAATGGTTTTTCTTCTTTAAAAATCAATAAACGAATAAAACAACAGTTAAAAATTTATATAATAACATAAATAGTCTTTGTTAATTTAAAAAAAAAAGTTATAAAATATTTTTAAGATACTTATACATGGTTTAACAGATGTATATAAATCTATAAAGCTTCATAAATTATATCTCTATATACTTATGATGGTAAGTAGTGAGAAATATAAGAGAGATGAAAATATAAGATTAGATAGTCGTGTATGGAAAATATACTTGTACGTTGACAATGAAGCAAAGCTAAAAAATCAGAAGCAATGAAAATTGGCGGGGTGGAAGAGAGGGAATAAAAGTTTTTCATTTATACATCAAATAAGCAAGGACGAAAAAACTGCACAATCGTAAATTTAGATCCAAATTCGAGAAAACAGGGACAGTTATTGACTTACTGCCTGAGCGAATAGCGAGTAACTCGGTCTGCCGATCTGAGGATCATATTCATGCGTTGTTGCGGTTGCGATACTGAATGATTGGCAGACGAGTTTGTAGCGTGGGCCTGTGCAGCCATGCAGGAGGTACGTTTTGCCCTTCTCACTGGTTTTGATACGGTTAAAGATGTAACAGGATTGGTAGTAGTTGTATTGTTGTTGATGTTATGACTCTGTGTTGCCGGTTTAGACCTAATACGGCAGGAAGATGGATCACAGCTACTGTTGGCCAACCAACTGTTTCTACAATTTCCAATCAAGATAAAGAGACCCTATTTTTTTCGGATATGCATGCAATATTGATAATAATATAATTCGTTTTATCGATCTTATATATAAGAAGCATGTGTTAATGAATTTAAGCGTAACTTAGAAGAGAAATGAGCAAATGGAAGAATATTCGTGGATAATGTCATGGAAGGAAGAAGAAAGGTAAGATATAGAAAAATACTTTGAATAAAAATAATAAACAAAGTAATGTATGGGAAGAGAAATAGATAAATAAATATTGATAATTGTTTAACCTTTTCACGACTGTCGTTGCGGTGGATCGTGATAACAACCTTTTGGTGGGATCTCTTTCTTTATTTCCCACTAAAGCAGTAATGGTTCCTTTTTGACTTCTGGTTTGTAATAAGGGTCCCAAATATGGGCTATAATACGATATGCACATTAATCCCAGTTTTTAAAAAGACAGAAAGGTCTGTCTCTCTCTCTCTCTCTCTCTCTCTCTCTCTCCCTCCTCTCTCTACAATAAATATACTTTGTACTTGTATACTTACTGCACAACGGTAGATGTCCCTGTACTTGCATTAAGAGAAGTTTGAGCTGTCGATATGCCTCTTCTTCTAGCTTTAATTCTGCACAATTTATCACCTTGAGTCAACGTACTGTATCTGGTTGTGGCGCTAGCCCCAGCCGCTGGTCCAGGATCGTCCAATTTTATTTCATCCACGCGATGCATTATCCCTGACACATTATCCTCCATCAGGTTCTTCACATCTTCTTGGAAAAAGGCTGCTTTAGGTCTACCAGCTATCGAATATATTCCATATGCATGCACCGGATTTCCATTTTCAGATTGCAATGGCTCTTTCAATAATGACCGAAGATACATTTCTTTTCTAAAAGACGCAAAAGCATCAGTTTTTTTTCTATTACAGTATAATATAATTTTCAAGACAGATACAGTATAATAAAAATAAAAAGAAAGTGACAAATATGTACACATACATTCAAATATATACACACCCACCTCTCCAGCCATTGTTGCTGATGCCCAATTACAGAACCTGGCCTACATATCCTTATCCAGGCGATTGTTTCGTGAGCCGTTAAATGATAATGCTTCATAATGTAGCAACCTATGAGAGAACCCGTTCTACCGAGACCCGCTTTACAATGTACCGCAACCGCGCCACTTGCGTTTTCCGCTATTTTGAGAAACTGATGCATTATTGCATCCGTCGGCGTTGAGCCATCCATAAAGAATAGATCTTTATGAATGAAACCGGCATCGGTAAAGCTCGCTGCATCGTAAACTTTCTTATTAAGCCGTATAATTGTTGTTACGTTATTACGGCGAAAATATGTAAAATACCATTCTGGTCCATGAAGTGGATAACCTACGGAAAAGGTACATAATTCTTGATGCATTATCTTAATGATAGTTATGCAACTATCATTATATATAGTTATTATCAAGCTAGATGATTTAAGTGATAAAGGCCAAAAATTAAATGTACAGATAGATTTTTGTTATATATGTTCCTTAAAAAAAAATATTTTTTTTACTCTTTTGATTTATCGTCACACATTCATCTTCAAATTTTGCTCATACTTGTATGTATCCCCTTGTTTTTCCCCTCGCAAACACTCATTCCATGGATCTGTTTACTCATCAGATTTCTTCTCAGATTTCTTATTGCATTCTTTTTCATGCACACAATTCTACATCGTCACTAATACAATGGTAGGTACACACTAATTAAAATGGTAGGTACGCACCATCTTCCATTTTAGATCTCGCATGTGGACCACAGAAAGCAATGAACTTTCCAGGAACTATCCAATTTAAATCTCCATTCTCAACTCTTTCAAAGTGTTCATATTCTTTAACACAGAAATCTTCGAAATTAAAGAAACCAAGTCGATGGCACTTGTATATAGCACTTAAACAGTCTCTTAACGATATCTGATAGCATGGTGGTCCAACCGAGGCATCACGAAACATGATAAACGAAGGACTATTTGGACTTTTAGTTAAACATTCATAAACTTCTTGTGCTGTACGCTTGCAATACAATATCTAAAAATAAAAAATATATTTTAATGCGATAACAATAAATAAATCCTTTTTTCATAACATTCGCATCTACAGAGTGACAAAAAAAAGTTTGGTCACAAAGTATTGTGTTTAACAAATTATTAATAGGTAACGTGTAATTACAATAATACAAACTCTAGAATATTAATTTTATCTTATTAAAGGCCAAAAAATAATAAACATTCAAAATGGCTTTTTTTAGCTTTGAAGCAAGCTTTAAAGCGTTTCAGGAATACATTAATGATAGCTGCGCATCTTTTCGCGAATAAATTCTACCAGGCAGTCAATAAAGTAGTTTTTAATTCATCAACCAATAAAAATTTTTCAGAGTCCCTTTAGAATTTAAAAGAACTACTAGCATCGCATCTATTTTACCAATAAAACGCAATTTCGTGAAAAATTTCGGAGTTTATGTTCAGAACAAAAACTTTTTAATTAAAATATTTTTTTACCATTTCTTAGTCTATCTTATGGCATTTAGAACTGTCAAATATTTGCTAAATATAAACAAACTCTGCAATTTCTTACCAATAAAATTGGGATCTTTAGTGGATTGTACAAAGAAATAATGTGTAAAATGAAAACAATCAAATTCATAGACTTAAACTTAAATATCTAATTCAATATAAAAATGTTTTACAAAAATTTATGCGTATCGTATGTGTACAGTTGATGATATATAGTATGCAATAATATAGTGTCAATGTTCATAAATCATGTGTATATAATCACATTTCATTGATAAAAACAGATAATATTAATTTGCCTAATAATTCAATAAGACACAAAACTTTGTAGCTATTCTTTTGTCATTCCAAATATATGTATAACTAACAAAAAATCATAAGAGAAAAAAATTTGTATTACCGCGTAACTTCCTATAAGAAATGCAGCATTAACTCTTTTCTCCGAATCCATTGTTGTATAATGCACGAGTTTCTTTTTGCTGAGTGCAATGCCCTTTAATTTCTTATTAACTTTTTGGCAGTATCTGTATAGCACGGCCAGATTTAGAGGACCAAAGTCGGAGTAAAAATTTTCATATACCAACTCGTTGTCAATACTGAAGTAGTGAGTGTTTGGATTACTTTTTGGTTTCATTGCTGTTCTTAATGTTATAAAATACAATCGATCTGAAAGAAGAAATAATTTATTCTTCATTTTATACATCAAGTGAAAGAAAAACTTTGCTGTGGACGTTTAAACAACTTTATACACAAAATAATGTAAAGCTTTCAGTTGTAGATTGCAATTTTGTTCGCAAGATTGCAATGACGATAACGAGTGCTATTTCTGAGAAAACATATATAAAGAAGATATTTAAATATCTTAAAAGTATAACAATTAACGGTTTTAAGATAAAATGTAATTTAATATAACATGAATGCATCGAGATGAAATAAATTTTGCGTATCCGCAATTTAACGTTTATTAAAATTGAAAAAGAGGATTCTTTTTCTGTCGGAGACCCCGCAGATGTTTCGTTGTAACGAAGCGAAACTATCAAACGACAGCTCCGACGTTACTTAACCCGCAGCCCATTATTGTATTTACAACCAGGAGCAAGTCGCGCGGCCAGCACACTTTCTCGCGCGGTCATCAAAAATAGATTCTAATCCAGAACGGATTACCTTTTATGAATTCAGCCGCGCACGCCAAAACCTCGTTCGCGTCCTCCATCGTGATCCAGCAGCGGGTGTACGGCGCAGTAGTAGATACCGATCAGGTGGATCTGTCATCAGCGCGACGTTAATGCAAATTGGAATAGCGTTCAATTAGCGGCGCGCAGTAAACACGCGGGAGTGGGCGGGTAACTAGGCGAAGTCTTCGGATTAATCGTTCGGTTGGCGGCGATCTCTTGGTCTCTGCCTACGCGCGCAAAAATCCGAGGTGCATTACGTCAGGCGAGCGCGTCGCGTCGCGTCGCGTCGCCTTCCCGGCGACACGGCGTACGCTCTACGCTCTACGCTCTACGCTCTACGCTTTGCTATGTATAACTTATGTACACCCACGCCACGATGCCTCCGACAGGCGACAATCTCCGTCACGGAAACAGGGTGGGACACGCTCGTCAGTTCGTATCAGTTCGTATTCGCCGTGCCGCCTGTCGCCGCAGGCTGCGACCGTTACGGAATTCAAACTCGAGGTGGAGAAGTGGAGAACGGAACCGGATTCTGCGATGTTCTGCCGATTGGTGATGGCCGATGGCTGGTATTGCGACAATGCGACCGGATGCGGCGCTCGACGGCGCCCTACTCAGCTCCGTTCCGCTTTTTTTTTCTCACTTATATTGTCGCCCCCGTTGATTCTGTCGATTCGCGCATATATTATTTACATACGCCCATATATTATTTCACGCTACATTTCGCCACGATATATCACGCGCGAGTTTTTCTCCTCGTTCCCTCGTCGTTGCCGTTGCCATACCCTACTCCCTGACTTGCACCATTATTCCACATTATCCGCTGAGAAAGTCGAGAGAAGCGCGAATTTTGATTCGACCGCCATCTTGCTGTCTGATTACGCAATGAGATAATAGAGGTTACGCGATAATCGACGATTGCTAAAAATACGCATATAGTAATTATAATTAATACAATTAATTTAGATGCGAAAAAACTAATTTTTTCGCCTCAATGATTTTAATTTCCTATAAATTTGTTAGAAATTTTCAAAGTTGGATGTTTATGTCTTTTTCGCAAAAATCGACCCAAAACATCTACATAACTTTTTTTATGATCTTCTCGATCCTTACATACTCGTATATTCTAATAACTTGGAACAAGTTATAACTTAATTGAAATACTTAATATTTTTAATAACAGAGTGATAATTGGGGATACTCTCTATTTGATGGCATAAGTCAAGAATATTGTTCTATTTTTGTTACTCATTAGAAAGATAAGATAATATTGGTTTTTAGAACGACCGGAATTACTGCTCGATTTAAGATTTGATTGTTGGATCTTCGTGCTCTTAAAGCATTATATTGTATTATATTGTTCATGACCACCTGAACGCATAAAAACTTACTATATTTATTTCTCCCTAAAGAGAAATTCTCCTATTAGAAATCAGTCGCGTTCTAAAAATAATCGGACATTTGTTTCACTTCATCTTATTGCACATTGTGTGTACCAGTTCAGAAAGCGTTATATATTCGCGTTACTTGAAATACCCCAAAATTTTTGTAACAATTTTTAAAACAAAATAAATATGTATGTATTCGAACATTGAAGAGAGAGAAAAATCGAATATTCTAAATACAAAAGGTGCACGCAACGCGAACAGACCTATAAATGTCTCTTTGGAAGTTCGCATGCGCTCTGGTGTGCATCTTTGCTATAATATACGTAACGTAATCTCTAGCACAAGTCCTGCGCCTATAATAGAAGGAATAAGGAATTCCCCGTATTCATAGTCCTTCCTTGAGGATTGAGGATTCCTCATTTCATGTTTCATAAACTTTCCTTGACCAAACAGAAAGCCATATTACTGTAGTTTCCTTGAGGACGAGGTGCAGCCTTCATAATCAAGCAAACCTCTAAATTTAATTTGTTACACCAGTCTTTTTACTTTCGATAGCTTTTAATTTAAATCTGATGCATCAATAATTATTTTCGATAACTTTTTTTCGGAAATAAACTCCTCTAAAAACATTCTCTCTTTCTTCGTACAATAAGCATTATGGCGAATTCTATTAGAAGCACTGTGATGCAAATTAAAGCCGTTGTACACTAATCTAATTTGAGTATAAAAATAAAATGCAAATATTTCGAATTATAACATACATATTTCATCTAACAGTACAATAAAATGTATTGAGTATTTCACAATTTAATTGATTTCTATATTATTTATAAACATATATTTACGTTATTTTATATATGTACAGCGGTTTTAATGTATCAGTGCGCAATGAGTGCGTCCAATCAAATTCGCTATTAGTTTTATTTTTGTCTATTATTTTTGCAAAATGTGCTTAATCACGATTTTATTTAATCAACAGTATCGTTATAATCTTTATTATTCGTAATTTACGATATTAGATTTGCATGTATTGTATATTATGGCATGCTGCCTTCAGTAGGTTATTAAAATCCCTAAAATATTTCTTTCTTTGGGAAGACATTTGAGATCAGTTTATGAAAAGGAGGCCTTGAAAAATCGAGGAATCCTTCATAGAGGCTTTCTTCACCCTTAAAATAAGGAAGGACTATAAATACGGGTGTAAAATAAAGAATAAACGATTTCAATCTATCAGAAACCGTGTATTCTGATGTATCCGATTTCTGATAGGTTAAAATCGTTTATTCTTTATTCCTAATTTCTTATTCCTTATTCCTTATTCCTTCTAATGTGCCGATTGTGCGCAGGGCCTTAAAGTTATCTGAGCGTAATTCCTGAATGCAGCGAATTGTGTAAAATAGGTTAGTGTTTTAAATGCGCGCGTAAATATTGCTGCAGCTGACGATAACAATTCAATAATTGTTTTACTCGGTGCTGTTTCCCAGAGACAGGTTAGTAGATTTACGATTGTTAATTATTACTAATTGAGATATGACTTTCAATATTCCGATTCAGGAGTGTGACAAATGTTAAATCGCATTTACCTTCTGTATCGTTGCGATACGCAGTATCACATTCGTCACAGTGTTGGTATTTACATTATATAATTTACAGGAGTAAGATAAATTCCAAGCGAAATTTCAAGCCGGATCAAATGGATAAAATGGACGCTTCGGAAACAGACGCAGCCTCGAATTCTTTCGTGTTCTCGAAACCGAATGCCGTATTTGATCTTTCAAGAGTTATTAATTTCGGTGTAGGTTCAGATCATGTGTTTGACACTCAAGTCAGTAAGAAGAGTATGTTTACATTTGCTTTACCCACAATAGTGTCGCAATGCAATCAAAGCCGCACAGGTAGTTTATATGATGAAGATCGAGGTGAGCGCTTTGGATTAGAGCAGTGGACCAATCTAAATAAATCTAATAAATATAAGCCAAGAATTTCTAGAAACACGTACAAGCCTACGATCAACGTATTTGCTAATGCCCTTAAAGACGCAACGGGAGCATTTGAACAGTTGAAAAAGAATTCCAGGTCATGTATCACTAAAGTCAACGTTGACAACTCGATAACATGCTCCAACGTGCCGAAAGCCTTGCTGACTAAAACAGCAGCGAAAGCATACTTTGTCAAGTATGGAAAAATCATAAAGGTAACTATTCGTCCGAAAAAACATATAATCACGGTAATTTACTCGACGAAGATAGAGGCGAGTGCTGCATATTACGGTGGTGGTGATTACAAAGGCGAAAAGTTTGCTATAGAATGGACAAAGTTGGAATCAAAAAGGACAATTAAGAAGAAGGAATTGCAGCGCAATATAGTGGCAAATCTACTTAAAGCATCCGACGATGAGATTAAATCAGAATTGGAAGCCATGGCAAACGTAGAGTATAATTTGCATCCTATCAAAGGAAACGAGGTGTCTGATGTAAGCATGTTTCCGATAAAAGCCAAAGCACTGAGTGGTAAAGCATTGTCGCATGAGAAAGCAATGGGAAAATTGGAGAAAGTTACAACGAAAATCGAGAAGCACGACATCGAGAGTCAGACAGTTAAATCTTTGCCCAGTAAATCCATAGAAGAATTACAAAATATAATACATCAAGTTGCTCTTACGGCCGAAGATAAATACAAAGTGTTGGAGGCTAGAGACCGTCTCATGAGACAGAAACGAGGCAAGCCAACTTCGCTCGCGACGGTAACCAGCGGTACTTGCCCTGATATGTGCCCTGAGAAGGAACGTCTGATGCGCGAGTCTCAGAGGCAAGTCGCGTCGTACGAACAGCTGGAAGGTAACGAGTACAGAATAAATCATGCGATTGCTATAAAGCAATATTCGAGATCTTCCGCGGATCAGGAGGAGCCAATGCCTCATGAGTTAAGACCGGTGAAATCTTTGAAGATGACCATGAGCTACTTGCTTCACGAGTTGATGGATCTCTGTGAGCAGGAAGGTACAAATCTAGCCGAGTGGTATCACTTTCTTTGGGATAGGACGAGAAGTATTAGGAAGGATATTACGCAGCAGGAACTATGCTGCAAGGAAAGCGTCGAATTGATCGAGCAGTGTGCTAGGTTTCACATAGTATGTTCCGAAAGACTCTGCGCGGAGGATGCATCTGTCTTCGATAAGAAGATTAATTCGGAGAATTTGACCAAGTGTTTGCAGACTTTGAAGTATATGTACCACGATTTGAGAGTAAAGGGTATCACCTGCGAAAACGAGCCTGAATTCAGGGCGTACATTGTGCTGCTAAATTTGAACAACGGTAATTTCCTGTACGACTTGCAACAGCTGCCGGTCTCCGTGCAAAATTCACCGCAAGTCCAATTCGCGATTAAAGTATACTTTTCATTGGACTCGAACAATTACTACAAATTTTTTAAACTTGTTCGAGAGACGACTTACTTGAATGCCTGCATCCTGTTAAGATATTTCAATCAAATCAGATTGAAAGCTCTTTCGATAATGGTGAAGGCATACTGTAGAAGTACTTCAACCGCTTTTCCGTTATACGAACTAATAGATATCCTCGGCTTTGAGGATGAGAACGAGGCTATATATTTCTGCGAACAAGCAGGATTGAATCTGTCGAAAGACGAGATGTACATTCTCCTGAATCGTCAGAGTTTTAATATGCCCACGGCGAGTATCCAGCAAGGTAGGGCTTGCAATTTAATAGAATCCAAGAGAATCACCTTAAATTTTAGTATTGGGCAATGCATCGCCGGTAAAAAAATGCCAGAGAAGACTTACAAGAATCATAAGCCACACAACAGTTTCGACGTGCACGATTATTTGATGCCTGAATCGATCAACGCCGCGGACCAAACTGCTGATAGTTCTTCTGTGGAACGGCACGATCCATACGAATTCATAGAAAAGGAAACAAAGAGGATAGCAAAGGTGACATCAATCCGGAATAAAGATCAGAAAGCCACAAAGGATCTTCTTCGACCTGTACAAACTCGAAAGCAGTCAACAAACGCGAATAACGAAGCGAGCGCGTTTAAACACTCGTCAGTTCCCGAATCGATCCGCTCAGACATTTTTAAAACGGTAACACCGTGTGTACCGGATGTATTCGAACACAAGCCAAAAGAATCGAATGTATTTATTGAGAACAAAGCTCAAGTTGGCGCATCGATTAAAGCAGCTTCTGAAAAATATTCTGACAGCAGAAGTGTGACTAGTACACGTCACGAAGACACTAATGATAAACAGCAGCCAGCGATATTTGGTAGCAGCAGTATTGTCGGTAATAATTTATTTGTAGGCAATCCTTCCGTGTTCTCTACACCAGAAACATCACGTAATGCAGAATCAGTCCCGCCGTTTGCGATGGCTGTAAATAAGAGCATCTTCTCCGGAGTAGACTCGGGAAATTTATTCAGGAACGTTACAGCTTCTTCCTCCACGATA